CGCAAATCGCACTGTTAGTCCATTGGCATTTGCAAGGTTGTCACCATTGCCACCATTCGGATAGGCCACTGATGTAATAATCATGATTCGCTGCTGTCCAGTAATTGGGTCAGTACCGCAATCAACGGTGAAATCCCTGGGAGCTCCATCACGTTTGTCCAGACTGTGAAGAGCTCGTTTGGTTGATGCACCATTCGTTCCGTAGGTATCGGGGTCAATCGAGTATTCATCATCAAAACCGTCAAGATCGCTGATAGCGCAGACTTCATCTAAAGTACTGGGAGCTGTACAATCCTTGATCATCTGGTTCCAGTACTCTAGGTTGCAAATGATGCGACCTGCAAGATCCTCTGCAACTACAGAAAACAGTTCACCTGTAACATCTCTCAAGAATGGTATAAGGGTGGAAGTCGCTAGATAAGTGAACCGAGCGGCAATTACGTCGTTCCACACCTTGATTTCCTTGACGGCTTTGTTTGTCCTGCTCGTCATGCGATAGGTGTAGATGACATCAGTCGCAACAATTAAAATTGAATTGCTTGTGAAGAATGATTGTTGATCTTGACGTTTCTCCAAAGATGTTCCCGAGGTGCCGGCATACCGAGGTGCATATTCTATAGGCAACATGTCTGTGAAGCCTCTTTTATCGTAGCCCACACCAAAGGTATCATCGTAGCCGTACCCATAGCCGGTAGAGCATGTAGGATTTTCCAACCAGTCTTTAAGATCAGCCGTCCAAAGCTCCACCATAGGGTCTACCTTTTTTTGGGTCGTGGTGTAGTTGGGAGAACAGCACTTTGCACGGGAGCCAGTCTTTTTGTTACAAGTATTGTAGTGCTCCATAGCTACCCGTACTTTGTCCTTGGGACAACTTGAGAAGCAGTAGCCACTCCCACCACTTCCACTACCACCATCGGCAGGAATGACTTGGTATCCTGTTTCGCTATAGTCGTCAAGCCACTCGCAGTCGTCGAAAGTCATGTTTTCATCAGAGCTGTCACAGCAATATTTGCGCTCCTCATTCAGGTGGGTTCTCCAGTCGCCACCGCAAGCCGATCCTCCATTGCCATTGCATGACTTAAGGAGAACATCGGTCTTTTCTGCTGGGCATTTCCATGAATCGCATTCGAATGAAGCACCCCATTCGCATTTCTCATAGAGCGCAGTACTCTTTTGACCACTCGTACAGCAGGCAGCTTGGTAATTACCAAATGCAGTTGAACATCCACGGTCGGTTCCGCCAATTTCAAAACTACCATCTGGACACTTGCCTTCACAGTCACCGTTGTTGAAAGTGTACCAGCCGCAAGTCGGAGCATCTTGATCAGGAGGACAGCACAGGCGATGGTCCTGATTTTTGAAGATACAGCCTCCATCATCAAGCATCCACTCACCATCATGATGTCTATCATCGTCATGACGGCGGAGCAGAACCCATCCATCTGGGCAGAGGTCTCCACAGTTTGTCCATTTGCACTGATCATGTTTGATTTTGATTGTGTCGTCTGTTTTGATTGTGTCGGGCAGAGCTTTAAACTTGCGTTGGGCTGCTTCTCCCAGGGCAAGGGAGTAAGTCCCATTGGTATGGTCATGGCTTACTGCCCATACCATAAGGCCACCTAAGCATTTCCCTCGGGCAAAGTCGGCTTTGAGCTTGAAGGTGTCGATATCATCATAGGATACCCATTGATTATCATCCCATGTGATCATCTTCACTGCAGCATCTTTGTCATATGTGATTCTGGGGCGTTTTCCCGCGATAATCTCGTCAATCTCGGAGTTCATCAGAATCCCAACCTCATGACTGCAGTCTCCAGCCTCCGCCCCGGACGCAAAAAGGCAGCCAGGTTTAGTACATGATGGGTCTGCAACCGTATATGCTCTGCCGTAAAATGCTATTCCAAGAACTACCTGATCCGGTGGAATATTGTTTCGCCATAGTAGATCCAGAGAAGCTTTAATCTCAGTGAGATTGGTATGCGCGTCGAGGAATTCACCAGTCCATTTGTTTCCTTTGTCCCAAGTTCCATGAAGATCGTAGGTCATGATATTGAAGAAGTCCACACTTTTCTTCATATTGCCGATGTCAAAGTGTTGCAAGTACCAGAAAGAGGCAGGCAGAGTTATACTAAGACCATTTCGACCGCCAGTTCTTTTGAGTGCCGCTTTGAGATTCTTCAAAAACTTGGGGAAGTTGTCAAAATCTTCTGGACGACCACTTCGATCATCCGCTGCTGGATATTCCCAGTCGATGTCTACGCCATCCAAGTCATATGTGGACATGAACTTTGTGAGAGAATTAAAGAACTTGTTCTGATTAGATGTCGATGCGGCCAGGTCGGAAAATGTCGTTGCAGTTGGGCCAGGGTCATTATAGCTCCAACCTCCAATAGCGATATACACTTTGAGATCAGGATCTTCTTGTTTGAGACGGGCGACTCGCTTGAATAGCTCAATATCTGCAGTCAAAGAAGGTCGAACCTCGAATGTATCTGGGTCAATGACTGCAAAGGCCACATTGATATGGGTATAAACTCCCAAAGGAATTTGCTCCGGCCAGAACTGTTTGCATCGACGCCGAGTGCTCCAAGTCTCATAGTATCCAACTACACGCTCTAATGTGTGCGTTGAATTATTGCAAGAGGGCTGTTTCACTGTTTTCTTCCCACAGAATTCTGACGTTGTTCCACAGAAGCCAAACTTTGAGCAGCATACGTTCAGAGGACAAGATGATTTTTCAGACCAATCTAACCCAAAGCCCGGGTCACATTCTGCTTTTCTTTCACAGCTAGCAACACAGTCATCTCCGCAGACTAAGAAAGGGCTTTTGTTAGATATTGAAAACCAAGTGTGTAGCGATCCAAAAACTTCTCATTGAGTACTTACACTCTGGTCCAAGTCCACAGAATCCAAATTTGTTACAACAGCCTTGTGCACATGGGTTGTTGGCATCACAACCCAGCTTGTAGTCGCAGGTATCAACACAGTCTGCGCCACAGAACTCATCACCAGTGCCGCAGTAACCATGCTTCGAACAGCATCCAGTTGCACAGGGGTTCTCTTTGCTACAGTTCTGTCCTGCGGTCTGAGCAATGAGGAAGCACAGGAAAAATAAAAGATACACCAGCCGGGGGCGTGAAAGGAAGCCCATGGTTCCCATAACAGAAATAGAAGCACCAAATGGCTCCTAAAACCAACTCTTGATGAGCTTCCAAGATATGATGGGACTATACTAATGGTAAACGACGAAAGGCATCCCTGAGTTATCTTTCCAGAACTACTAGTACCATTTGTAAGCTCTAAGAAAGACTAGCTTAAGCGAACCACTGTGTATTAAGACATTGTCGTTATTTTCATCTTAGCTTCGATGCTTTTTCGGGATTGAGCAGAAACGTGCGAGTAGTTAGTTAGCGTAGAAATCACGCAGTTGGCTTCAAAAGTGGCAGCGCTGTACGGAGTACCTTGCCATCTGTGGCGGAAATTGCTATGCATGGTCCCACTACTGCCAAGTTAGCTCTAGAAGAAGTTGAATGCGATCAAAAACATTAGTCGATGTAACATAGCAATCTTATTAGCGTCGTTAATGGGCCAAATGAAAATGTGCAGAGATTTCAGACCGACTCATACTCGTCCGCTCGCTTGACCCAAACAAAGAGCTAGTAAGTTTGTCTAGTTGAAGCCCCTGACCGGCATTTCTTCTCCTTGGCGCCAAAATGAGTACCTGCCTGATATTCGTAGTTCTAGATACAATCTCAGTGATAATCACAACATTCCTCCAAGTTTCTCTTGAGGGAAATTATTGCTTGTGACAACTAAGTTCACGATTCTCAAAAATTTAATCGTATTCATTGCTTATAGTGATGGTCTTTGCTTTTTCCTCCCAGGATCTGCCTCACCCGCATCTAAATCTAAGGGTTTTCAGGGTCCGAACCCATTTGTCTTGGCGTGTGTTTTACCGGAACTCGGGGGACACGGAAAGCTTGGCGTAATTCAATAAAGCCGCTACGTAGTAACTTTCAAGCATCCGTATGTGAGACTAGTTTGTCAGTATTGTTATTGTTCCTTTCGCGTTCCACCTGTAAGAGGACTCATTCGAGCACGCGTCAGTTTACTACTAGCACCGACGGTGACTTTGGAAATACTGCCAAGGTGCATTCCATGGTCAGAATCCCTAATATTCAACCAGAAATGCCCTCAACCAGAGAACACAGGCATACTCATACGCTTACCAATGTGACGTGGGTGGTCTTTCAATTGGACCTCGGGGGCCCTGGAGGTTTGCTTTGTTTTTCTTCTCTGTTTCCAAATGGTAAGATTTCAATACCTGAATCCCCAAGGAACAAAAAAGCGTGGCTCATTTCAGGGGTAGGCGAGTTCCGTGGTAACTCGCTCCTCTAGTCACGAATAGGCTTTGACAAGTCCCGCAGCACCGGCCAATTACTGGTTCCGGTGCTGTGGTGCTGCGACCATACCTATTTAGACTAGATAATTACCTATATAGGAAAGTGTTCGGCATGGTAATGCCAAGACGGGGCCAAATCGGCGTGACTTGTCAAGGCCTAGTCACGAAGCTCTAGTCAAGCCACATATTTTTGAACCTTGGCCCTGAGAACGGAGTAGGCTTGGCAGTTCACTATTTTAGCGGCTTGGTATTGATGATAGAACCGAGACCACCGCACGAAGTCTACTAGTATGATACTAATTGACTTATGTGGAGATATCATGACAACTAATGCTACCTTCAGGGCACCTTCTGCGGCCTCGTCGAAGGAAATTGCACCTCGCCTAGACAACCCACAAGGCCGGGACCTGACCGACATAAGGAATGAGCTGTGGAGAATATACTTGACTTACTCGGAGTGCATGAAAACAAACTAGCGTCCTTGGGATGTCTTAGAGGTGTTGTGCAGGGTCGCATTAGCCACCTATGATTAGTGCGAACGAAAGGCTATTCGGTTGTGTTTCTTCGATAAGTTACACATAGAGCCAGGCAATCCCAACGCAGACTTTCCAGTGACCATCGACACAGTTTTCCCCGTGTTGGACAAACTGAAGAGCTGCCGCCGAGATGCTTCGACCACTTGTCGGGGTCTTGTGTCTCTTTTTCTTGTTCGGGTGGTTGCCTGGCATATCAGCTTCTCAGCATGGACATCACACCCACCACCATCTTTACCGACGACATAATGGGACCGAGAGTGCCGAGTCTGACGGCTCTCCCAAACATATTGTTGAAGAAGCTCTGAAAGCTTTGAGAATTGCCAACAAGCTTCGTGTGGAGAATTCTCAATTCAACAAATGGGAATTCCAAGATAATACTTCCCAGGACAAAGGATTGACCGATGTCCCGCTTTCAGACTACTCAGACTCTACGAAGAATGTATCACTGGCTCAGCTGAATAGACGCTCATCTATCAATGATTCAAGCTCACTGGAGTCGAACCCAAAATACGGCTACACCTTATCACCCGCAATAGTCAAGGCTGCAAAGGAGGTTGCAGAATCTGAGAAGCCAACCCCTTGGGACATTGACTATGCCTCTATTGCATCAAAAATTCGCGCGAAATGGAGTGCAGGCACAAATGACACGAACGCAATGGTCCAGAAGCTATCTCGCTCGAACGGATTGGATCAATACACTTCCTTCGGACAGCCAGACGGTCTTCAAGAACCAATTGAAGAAGGCGTCAGTAAAAGAGACACTTCATCGTATTGGATGGCAAGTGTAGAGAAGAATGGTGCTAGCCCCTATGCAGCATTCGGCTACAAGGTACCATACATTCCATACCAGGAATTGACTTCTCTAACAATACGAACAGGTCTGGAGAAATGTGATGGACTATGGAGCTAAAGGTACGTAATATAATCCAGGCCGAAATTTTATTATGGGATGATCGGTTTAACCATTCATTCAGGAGATGGTGTTACTGATGATACTGCTGCTATTAATCGAGCAATCTCTGACGGTAACCGATGCGGTGCCGATTGCAAATCTAGTACCAGATACCCAGCTGTCGTCTGGTTTCCTTCTGGTACTTATCTTGTCAGCAGTCCTGTAATTCAGTATTACAACACACAGTTGTTAGGAGATGTATGTATCCATTCTCTTGACCAGCCTTTGGTAGAGACTAACTTGTCTTCTTTTCTCTAACTTAGCCTACCAATCTCCCTACAATTTTGGCTGCTTCGAGTTTCGTTGGCCTTGGTGTGATTACCTCCGATGTCTATGTTGGTGATTCGGAAGAATGGTACTAGTATTGTCACTCAGCATTTGCATGAGTATGCATAATGGGTGCTGATTTGCTAATATTTGTACAGGTATCTCAACACTAATAACTTCTTACGAAGTATCAGGAATTTCAAAATGGATATCACGCGCACTGACCAATCAGCGTACGTCTGCGCCATTCACTGGCAAGTCGCACAGGGTACCTCTCTTGAGAACATTGAATTCTATATGCTGCAAAATGTCGAAGGAAATACCCAACAGGTATGAACAGAGAATCTACTTCTTGAATTCTTCGTTGGCTGACTTTGATGATAGGGTATCTACATGGAGAATGGCAGTGGTGGATTTTTAGCTGACCTTACATTCGTTGGAGGTAACTTTGGGTATGTAGAGCACACGAATGATCTACCACCACTAGTTTATTAATCACAAAGCTGACTATATCTTTAGAGCATATTTTGGTAATCAGCAATTCACTACAAGTCATTTAGTGTTTGTGAATTGCAAGACGGCTCTCCAAGTTCACTGGGATTGGGCTTGGACAATGCAAGATGTGGTCATCGAGTCCTGTGGAACCGGAATACTTTTGACTGGAGGTGTAAGCTCTCTCTCTCCTCCCTAAAGCACATTAAACTCTATCACATCCTATCTCGTACACTAGATATACTCCAACCATAAGCTAACGAAATATCACCAGGCGGGCGGAGCTGCGAGCACCGGACAGTCTCTCGGTTCATTCATTCTCGTGGACGCTATCATAGCCAACACACCAACGGGCATTGTCACCTCTTTATTGGCTGAGAATTCAACATCTCTTCTTTTGCAAAACGTTGGATTCTTTAATGTGCAAAATTCCGTCACTGATAGTGTCTTGTCAAAGGTTCTCCTCGCGGGTGGCAACGAAGTTCCAGTTGACAACTGGGGCTTTGGCCGAGTTACCAACGCAAATGGGGAAAGTTCTTTCATCAATGGAGCTAACATCTCCCCTATGAATCGTACTGATTCTCTTCTATCAACTGAGCTGGCATATGTCAAGCCCAACTTTTATACTCGTCGTCGTCCCACATACATCAATATCGGACAGAGTCAAATTATCAACCTCAAGACCGCCGGTGCTAAAGGCGACGGTGTGACTGATGACACCACAGCATTAAACAGTATTTTCGCTGCAGCTGCAAATATGTCATCTATTGTTTACGTTCCATATGGTGTCTATATTGTTACTAATACCGTCAAAATCCCTGTTGGGTCTCGAATCATCGGACAGGCTTGGCCACAGATTATGGGGAAGGGCAAGAATTTCCAAGATCAGTTACATGCCCGACCGGTCGTTCAGGTCGGTGAGGTAGATGAGTCGGGAGTAGTTGAGATTCAGGACATGATGTTTACTGTGTCTGGAGCTACCGCAGGTGCCATCTTGGTTCAATGGAACGTTCATGAGATTACACGCGGCTCAGCTGGTCTTTGGGGTATGAACAAATCCAGTGATACAAATTTTTTTCCAACTGGAGTGCTGACAATATTTACTTAGATTCCCATTTCAGGGTTGGTGGAGCTGTAGGTTCAGAGCTACAGGGTGACAAATGTCCGAAGGGCGGCGGTATCAACACCGACTGTATTGGTGCATCTGCCCTCCTTCATGTCACTTCTAAAGCCTCCGCTTATATCGAGAATTCCTGGGCTTGGGTTGCCGATCACGACTTGGATGCTGCGGATGAGGCTCAGATTGACATCTTCTCTGGTCGCGGCATTCTTATTGAAAGTCAAGGTCCTACCTGGCTTTATGGGACTGCTTCTGAACACAACGTTCTATACCAATACCAGTTTTCTAATTCCAAAAATGTGATTGCTGGTATGATTCAAACCGAGTCACCTTATTTCCAGTCCCATCCTGGAGCGCCATTGCCCATTGTGACTGGTGGATTTCCAAATGATCCTCACTTTGACAACTGCACAATCTCTTCACCAGCTACGTGTGCGGTCTCGTGGGCCGTCCGAATCGTGGACTCCACCAGTGTCTATATACTTGGCGCAGGTTTGTATAGCTGGTTCTCTAGATACTCACAGGACTGTCTTGCTACTGAGGACTGTCAAGATCGAGCCTTTGAGATTGAAGAAAGCCAAGATCTCTGGATCTATAACTTGGTTACCAAGGCTATTGTCGAAATGATCAGTCCTGTAAACGAGAAGCCCACACTCGCCAATGATAATAAAAATGGGTTTATGTCGTCGATTCTTGCTTGGCTGAAAGGATCGACTGACAAAACCGGGCAGCGGGTTTTCGAAGGTTTCACGATCTATGACACTAACATGCTGCCTTCAACCTTTTCGGATGCCTGTATCACTGCTCTCACCGCTACTATCAAGTGTGATCTCCAGGTATTCCAATTTGGAGAGCCTCAATACCATGGCACATTGGGTAACGATACTTTGACCGACTTGGTTTGTGATCAAAGTTGCGGCGATTCACTAGCGAGATGGTTTACCAACGCGGAGGCAAATTGTAATGGTGCCGTTCTTCTTGATCACCCAGCCACAATTCTGGGTGGAAACATGTGGGAGGGATGGAATGAGACTTGTTACAAGGATCCGACGACAGGCAAATACTGCAATGGTAAGATTGACATTACTGGATTTATTGTTGGGTGCCGCTGACCTCTTGAAGAAGTTATAGGCCAGTTCATGCGTGTTGCAAGCGTGGACCTCATGCCCAAGGATGAGATGTGCTCCTATTGCTACAAAACTAAGCTTCAAATGATGCAATCAAGCCCCTATTCCTATTACAACCAGCGATACAAGTACAATCTTGAAACTGTTATAAAGAACTGTGGTGTCACTTCTAACACTACAATTCCTGATGATCTTTCTGTCACTCAACCGGAAGACGAACCGTTTTGCCCAGATGACAGCTCATATACAACCAAGGATGGCGATACTTGCACATCTATTGCCCTGGACTACTCTGTCGCGTCTGCAGCCTTGTACATGGGTAATCAGGATCAGATACGCGATTGCAATCAGGTCGTTGTTGGGCAAGAATTGTGTCTACCCCTATCATGCGATCACACATATGTCCTCAAATCGAACGACACATGTCGTAGTATTGAAGAGGCCAACGCAGCAATCATGTTCGACAATAGCACGAAGAGAATCATTCCTCTTCGCCAAGTCAATCCCTGGATTGATACATACTGTTCCAATCTTCAAAGTACTTCTTGGGCCTATGGAAAAGTCTTATGTCTAACCCCTCAGTCGGGGCTTTTCAACGCGACAGATCCAGTGTCTACGTCCTACAACCCTTGGGGCACGGAAAGCTCAGGCTATGGCTCATGGGTGGTTCTCCCTCCAGATAATGCCACTGTTGCAGCCGGAACCACCAAGCATTGTGGAAAATGGCATACAGCCACTACTGGGGATTCTTGTACACAGATTTGTGTCCAAGACAAGATCACAAGCAATTTGTTCTTGCAGGCTAATCCTTCCCTGCAGTCTGCAAACTGTACGGGACGTCTCATCCCAGGAAATGCGTACTGCACTGGTCCTATGCGCGGTTGGAATTATACTGTGGCAACCTAATCGTGGAAAGAGGCTACCTAGACTCATCGGCGCAGGCGTATACTAGGTTTCTCGCTGCTCTGTGTGTATTCCAGGGTTTGCTGTTGGCACAGACATGAATAGACATTTGTGTAGCAACTCAATAACGAAACGTACCTTAGGTTCTCCCTAAATACAAGATTCACGCTTCTCATACACATTTCACTTGTACATATTCAGTCACGGGTTGTTTTTCTTCTTGCCAGGGTACCAAATCTGCGACGAGCTCTATCAGGCAACCCAGGGTGATTACTTGAAGATCAATCTTGCTCTTGATGATATCAGCAAGCGGGAATACAAATCCGAGATCGAGCATGCCCTGACGAATGCACGCAAGGGACGCACGACGCAAGTTAGAAACGAAATCGAAGTACTCAATAAACACCGCTCCGAAACAGAAATCTTAGAGATCAACGAGATTATTCTTTGGATTCAACGCTACAGGGAGCCTCTGACAATGAAAGCGATGACGGCAGCTTTATATGCGAAGGTTGGGGAATTGTCCCTCCTAACGCTACCAGATAAGATCAAGTACAAATATACACTGTTGAAGATCACAAAGGGCGAGGTTCAATTTCGGGCTGACGAAGTTGGTGACGCCATCCCAATGAAGTGCCGTTCCCAAAGCAAGGCGGAGGAAGCGGAGGATGAGCAGCTACAGAGCGCAGAGGCAGTCTCCCCCGGCGAGATGGCCATGGTTAAACATTTCCTATCTACGGTCTGCCCACAGGAGACGTATCACAAATTAGAAATCGACCAATTTTTCGAACAGAAAAAGCAGATTCGGCATAAAGAACAGATATACAAGGATGATCCCAACACTGAGGAGGCGAAGATGGCGCTCAGTTGCCTACGCCTTCTCGCGGAAGAGGTAGACCAACAAAGCGATCTTGTATCGTACGCGAGAAGCAATCTCGTAGAACACCTCTCCGCTGTCAACTTATCCCTAGTTCAGGTTGACTACAAGACCACGTTTGGGCCCTACCTTGTTAGTTTCTTCAGTGTTGACTCTTCAATCGATACCCTACTCAACAATAACGGCTTATCCGGCCCCTCACCCGATGAACGGCGAAGAGTCCGTCAACTATTGCTCAACGACACCAGTATGGATATCATCCTTCAGTGGCTCAATGACGAGGCGGTAATTTTGAATGTCAACGATGAAGCTCGTGGGTGGATCACCGGTCCAGTTCGTACTGAAGGTCGCCGAGCCTTGCTGATGCCAGCTGCGATGCGAATGGCGAGGCATCTGGTGCACGAGCAACACTTTGTACCTTTCATAAAACATGCTTTTGAATTTCTTCCGGGCTTCCTCGATAAGGTTAGTTGCCTTTTCAGCTTTAGTTAGATTGACCACATCAAGCTTTGCTAACCACCCACTAAAGTTTGAGAATCCTAGCGAACAAGAAAAGCTCGAATCCATTAGCAGAATTGCAAGTGTTGAGAGGTGGTGCGAGAAAGTACTCGAAGGGCTGAAGAACGCTTTCTGGCACACACAAATAGGCATTCTTTTAAGCAGTCATGGTCACAAAGAGTTGGCGGAAGCTCGAGCCCGACAAGCCTTGGCACTCAACGGAGCGGACTGACAAGCCTCTACCCTTCTGGCCGAAGTAGTCGGGGGCAGTCAAGGAATCGGGACTTTGAAGCCTGCCATAGAGCGCCTTGTGTCAAGCGGCGAATGGAAGCAAAGCGCTCTGGAGCGGGTGGGACTCGCTAAGATGCTGTTTAACACCGCAGAGCTCAGCTGGAAGGAAGGGCAAGCCGATATGGCTATCAGGTACTGGTCACAGGCGGTAGACACTGATCTCACTGATATTGTTCGCGTTATCCGGTGTTTAGAGTCGTACGCCCAGGGTAAGCGCTGAGTGGAACTTATTGCGATTCTGCTAAAGATAGACGAGAGATCAACGGAACTGCAGGGCCTGTCTGATTTGATAGCCGCAAGAAGGTTCCCCCATGATATGTTTTTGCAAGCGGCTCTTCATACCAGGGAGCTCGCATTTGCTGTCGGCGCCTACGAGCGATCCGTTCAGCTGCTTGAAGAGCGTGGAGGGCACGCTACATTAAGCCTTCTCCGATACCGCTTTGGGCGGCCAATTAAGACACAACAGGACGGCTCGTCCAGAGCGATCAAGTAGTGGCGTCAGGCCCTCGATGGCGCAGACCCATCTGACATGTCAACATTGATCAGTTGTATAGCGCCGAATTACGTGCAAAAAGCCATTGCGGTAGGCCCCAATCATGAAGCCGTCTCAGCCTATCTTGAAAGGATTGAAGCGCTTCTCCCCGAGGACGTACCTGAAGCCGAGGTCAGTCTCCCGCCTCGGGTATATATTGCACGGTACTACAAGAACCAAGGCAATCCGACCGAGGCGAAGCGGATCGCTTAAAACGTCGTGCAGCTAAGCCACGAAATCCTCTCCGACGATGATGAAGGAAACGACCTACCCGCATACAACCAGCTTCTGTCGATATTCATCGCTTTTGGTGATATCAAGAACACACTAGCAACGCGTGCCCCTTATAGCGTTACATTTTATGGAACAGAAAATCGCTTGCGATGGCGATTGTAACCGCGTCATGGATATAACCGAGGAAATACAATGGTGCTAGGATTGCATCCTTGTCCATTTGGATGAAGAGTGCCGCCGAAAACTTGAGCAAAATCGTCTCCCATACTCTACTTGTAATGCGTCACATAATCTACTTCGAATTCCGCGAATGGAAGAGTCCTTAGGTAACCTGCCGGAGGACAGTGTACCATCCGGAGATGACTGGATCTCATTTACGGATTGGTTGGGGCATATTGAAAAGGATTATGTTAGCTTTGAATGAGTATATGCAGAAAGCAGGACCAAGAATAAAGTCAGGCAAGATAACAAAGCTTTTATCAGCATGAAAATAGGATCATAAGTGAGCCAAATTCTAGTAAGGAAGTCTTCAGAACGGGATAACAGTTTAATGCTATCTGATACATCTAAAACTTGTATTATTTAATAATAGTGTATTTATTAAATATAATAATATAATTCTTATTCTCTTTTTTAATTATTATGTGGGGTTATAAGTATTAAGAAATAATAATATCCATTTCTGAATTTAATTAATATATATTTGCCGGAGACTGTACTAGATTAAATTACAATTGATAGTATATATCTAATCTTTGAATTTATTAAGTAGAGGGAACTTGATTTCTATTCTAAATCAAAATATATTGTGACGGCGAGTGAACGTCCCGTGGTCACGTGACTTCTGTGTTGTTGGTCTTGTTTGCTTGTATCGCGTTGCTCGCTTACCTTTGTATGATCGCATGTTCCCCTCTGAGCTTCTTCCTTTCCTTCCTCACGTTAGAAATTTCATTACATAGCACCGAATATGACTGTTTGAACGGCTTCCACAGTGGCAATTAACCAGTCTATAGAAAGCAGGTTCGCTAAGCCCAACCATGACTTCTTCTGGTAACCCGAGCTAATCCATCAATGGCTCTCGAATGGTTTCTCCTCTGAGACATTGTGGCCTTCTGAGCCTAACCCTCAAGACCTACTCAGTGATTCAGGGGAGATACAGTCGTTTTCGAATTCAGTTTGACCTCTCACTCTTTAGACTTGATTCCCGGAAAATAAACCCGTTATATGCTAACCCTGTTCGGGGTCACCGCTTGATTGATTGGGCAAAACTGTGGTGGTAATGGCTGTACCACATCCCAGGACTTATTATAATAATACTGTAATGATACATTGAATCCCATAGAATCGCTTGGTCGAACTGGTGATCTGGCAAGATTGCTCTGGCAAGATCGTCTGCTGCTTTCCGCCTTCCCACCAGTCCCATGTTGCCACCCACTTCCCCTCGTTCTCCAGAGTAGGTGGTGCTTTGCAGGTGTGGGTAGTGGAGGCAGGATGTTTAGAAATCAAGTGGGTGCAATGTGACATCATCAGCTGAATTGCTCTTCTTTTTCCAGGTGATGGGAGGACAGGCAGTCAATCTAATTGGTTTAGGGCACTTGCTCGGATATGCACAGTCATCACATCGGAGACCGTGGTGTCCAAGGAGTACTCCACATGTTTATCTCACTTACCATAACCATCGACTTGCAGGATATCCTGGACTCACCCCACTTGGATAGTCTGATGGCGAGCTGAATCTGGATTCGTGATCTCCACCAATCTCTCGAAGCAAACCCATTTTCATCTTCTCGCTTGAACAAATTATCAACTGTAGATACAGGTACAGGACAAATACAAACCTCTTTCCTTCGCTTGCGGGAGAGAAAATGCGGTAATCTGAGGTTACATAGTCAAGCTAAATTTTTGCCCTCTCAAAATACAGCTCCAGTGGATTTTTCTTACCATCCGATCTACAAGAGTCCCATGCGTCGTGACTTAGTTTCCCACCATCTAAGAGAAGATCTTTTCCTAATGATTATTAACGCTTTGATCATGTTGATCCTTTCCATGTTTCCGATGGTGGTTTTGGGTCTTCATTGATTTCCCTCTCTGACTCCCCAAGATTTAAGTCGCCGGATCTCGCCCGGTCGTGCGTTACGGGTGGTCAGTCACTGAGAAAAATTGAATCTCTCTTCGCACTTATAATCATAGTCAATAGATTCTTGCGATATCCTCCACCATGTCCGGCCAAAGCAAAGAGTACGCCGACATCATGGGCCGAGAAACCTCCTTCGGGACCTTCCTCTTCATCCCCCAATGGTTCTCTACCCTGCGACTAGGCTCAGTCGGCTACTTCGACCGCACAGGCGAATGGAACGAAATCACTAACCTGCTCGAGGAAGGGCAGGCCGAAAAGGACGGATTCAAGCCATTTAGCCACGACCTGAAACTGCGCGACGTCCGTGAGACCCATTGGCAGGCTGGATCCGCCGAGACCGAGACAGGCCGGAGTTCCCGCCTCACCACTGAAGCCAGCGGTGCTATAGCTGCTGCGCCCGTTGAGGCGTCCGTCCAGGTTAAAACGAACTCGTCGACGACGGGCAGTGCGGCGCTTATCACGTCGTCTGTGGTGCGGAACTATAGGTTTCAAGGGGACTTTAAGGGACCAATCAAAGATTGGGTGGAGGATAACGCCAAGGCACTTGTTGAAAGAAGAAGTGATATCGAGACGCAAGGACTGTGGGCAGTTATGGGAGCATGGGTGACGGACGAGTGCGCCATCAAGATGACAAGCGGGAAGAATCAGGAAATTGACGTGTCGTTCGACCTGGGCGCTACGGGGATTGGGAAGCTGGGTGCGGGCGCCGGGGCCTTTGACAAGCTTAAGCGGGAGGGGTGGTGGACATATCCCAAGAACGAGGTATTTGCAGGTTGCTCCTCTACCATCCCACTATTGGATACTGATGGCATGCAGAAAAGCCAGGGCTACGTTGTTTCGTTTGTGGGAGTTGAGTACTCACTTCGGTCTCTCCACAAGCTGAGAAGCACAGTAAGCATTGATTTTCTTGTACCCTCAATGGCTATTTACTGATTAAAACTAGCCACTCAAGGTTTATAATGAGACAATCAGCCTAACCCCTAAACAAGACCAACCTGGGTCCACGGAAAATGAGCATCGAATGGCGCTGTTAATAAAGTTAGCGCAACTTCAGCAAATTGAGAATAAGGAGGAGAAGGAGGCGGAGCTGAAAAGGCTGGCAGAAGAGTATCCCGAGATACACGATCTTCGTTCAAAGTCTCAGTGAGGGGGCTCTACAATCCATTTCTGTCCCTGTCACAATCTGATTATGGCCTATTGCTGTATACCGTTCACTTGCCCAAAGACATGAATCTTTACTTTAACATATCCGCATAAACCTTACCAAGGTCTTTTATAATTCCAAAATTTCATACTTGTACTGGATGCTGGGAGCTCCCCCAGAACCACAGATACCTCCTCAATATAGCAGCATTGGGACTCTGAGCAGTGATACGATTATGCTCTTTAGGTTCCTTTTAGGGTCTAAGACCATTGCTTCCCTTTTGCACCAGGCACAAAAACAGGCTGAAGACACCTGTGTATGCGACCCCATGTAGAGGATTATGTGGTAGATATGAGACCTTGGTCATTCCATGCCTCATTATATGACTGTCATTTACAAGTCATGTAACCTCTTAGACCCAAAGAATAATTAATAATAATTTCTGAGAAAATAATTAGGATACAGGATTTATTAAAAGATAAAATAAAAATTAATTAAAAGATAGAATAAGGAAACCAAAGAATTAATAAAAAATAAATAAAACATAGAGAAAGGATAAAACTTATTTAAAAAAATAAATTTTTAAAAAATATATAAAAAAGCTTAATCCTCAGAAAACTAACAGTTTTTTTAAAAAAAATTTATTAATTTTTATAAATATAGAGGCTTCATTCAGATATAATAAATTATTATAATTATTAAATTCTTATATAATTAATAAATCTAATTTATTTTTTTATAATAAAAGCTGGTATGCAGTTCTTTCTAAAAAAATATTTCTAAAATTTTACTAGTTATTATCTCCTCTTAAGTATTTTAGTATTACTTTAAAAATATTAATATAAAAAATTAATTAATTAAAAATATAAATAATCCTGAAATATTACAAAGAATACTTTTTTAAAATTCTAAAATATCTTATAGTTATAGCAAGAAGTTTAGATAATATATATTAAATTTAAAATAATCGTAACTTTTAGATTATTTCAATACCGGAAATCTAATCTGTAAGAAAAAAAGAAAAAAGAAAAAAATTGTTAAAATAAAAATAAAAACATTAAATACTCTTAAAACATAATAAAATTATAGAAAACTTTTACTAAGTTAATAAGAAAAAGAAAATATAAAAGAATTAGAAAATACGTTATAAGAATCTAATAACTAGATATAGATTACTTATTAAATTATTAGGGTTTAGGGTTTTTATAATATAATTATCTTTAGTATAAAATCAAGTAGCTGGTATCTTATATCATAAATTATATCTAATATCTTACAGGAAATTTTAAGAATATTTTTTTTATTTCTAGGATTATTATATAAAATACTCTATTTATCCTAGATGTTTGTTACGGGACAGGTCCCTACTAGAGGACTCGGTTAACTAGCCTCATTACTGCCTGCTGATTAAATATAATATACAAAACCTCAGGATCTCTAAGGCCCTGTTCTGAATAACAGCTATTTCTTTTTTTTAATAAATAATGTATTCTTGAAATTAAAAAATAATCTTTAATATTAAGAATAGCTTCTAGATAAACCCATAAAATAAAATCTGACTATATAATTAATAAAATATAATATAATAAAATAAAATGAAAAAATAATAAATAATATAATATAGTTATAATTCCTTGCTGATTTTATCAGTAAGTTAAAGAAAATTAAATAATAAATAATAAAACAGTAAAATTATTATTAATAAGCTTAATAAGATAAATATAAGTAATTAAATTAAAATATAATAGAATTATAAAACATTATTAACATTTAAACTATGAATAGTATTTCTTATAATATTATTATCTCTTTTTTTTAATATATAATTCTATAATTAAGATTTATATATCTAAAAATCAAACCCTTTAATAAGCAGAATAAGAGAAATTATTTTAGATTTAAGATATATTTATATATTAAAGCAACACTTCGGTGAAAGAGCTGCCTCTTTTGTGGTTGTTACAATGCTGCTTTTACAGTCCTTTAATACTAATACTCTAATTTTATTTTGATTATTATCTTGGAATTATTTTTATAGTGGTCCATCCCGGTTCTATACTATGTAGATAGACAGAAGCCCTCAGCTGATAAAATAATATAGAGTCTACTAGTATTCTCCAGCTGAGGTGTTATTTAATATAGATTTTATATTAACTGTTCTATTCTCTGTTAAAATATAGTAGAATTTATATAAATCTTTCTTAGTAATACAGTATTCCATATATTAATTCTTCAGAGAATAGTAAAATCTATTATATTAGCCGGGCCAGCCAGGTATTATATTTTTATTTATTATAAAGATATATAAAGAACTAGAAGCTCACTCCAGCCTTCTTAGAATAGAGAAAAGTTTAATTAACTAAATAATAAGATATCTACCCCAGGCTTTTTTTTTTTATGATATATATGCCCTTGGTTTTTACATAATTTTTAATTATCTTATTTTTTTGGGTATCTTTTTCTATCTCTTTTCTTCTATTATTTTTTATTTTATTTTTTTCTTTTACTTATTTACCTGCTATTCTGAATCTCTTCTAGTATTTCAGTTATACAGAGAAAATAAATAGATATTTTTATGATAACATAGTTCTAAGAGCAACTGTATTACTATTAATATAATAATAGTAATTATAAGAGACATAATATTTCTGAAAAGTATCAGGAAATTAGAATAAATAAACCAGCTTATAAAGATGCGGATAATGATAATAATAGAAATAATTTATTAAAATATAAGTTTTATATAAACCTGGGCCAAAATACTTAATATAACTAGTTATAAAAAGTAGAGTGGCGAACGGCCAGGTCAGGTTAGGTTAATCAGAAGTTTTATACCTGCCGGCAGGTTAACAGTCAGGTTAAAGAAAATTTTATACCTGGCCGCGGAACAGCTAAAAATAAGATAATTAATTATTTATTATATTTTTAGTACTAGGATCTATCTACTATACTCTTTTAAATCTTAGTACAGATAAGATATACTCTGGTTAATAATTATTTACTTTAATTATTTATATCTTTATTAATAATTAATGCAAGATTAATCTTCTTAATTCTAAAAATAATCAGAAAAAAGGAAATAGAAAATAATATATTCTATTCTATTTTTATTTATTTAACCTGATATTACCTCAGGTGGTAGTAATAATTAAATTTATAAAAAAAAAATTATTTTTATAAGATAAAATAATAATAAATATATATATTTACAGCTTTATTTTAATTATATATTATTAATAAATTATTAATATCCTTTAAATTAATTTCCTAGGCTGGTAAATCTCTCTGAAAATCATTCTATATAATAATAAATAAATTTATTATTTTTTTTATATACTTAAAATACTGTCCAAGTATTTATAATAAGTCTAAAAATTATAAATTATCTATATTATTTAATTATAATGTTTTATATGATTCTGTTTACTTAGTTTATCTGAAAACCTGTATTTTCTATAATTTATTAATTATAAATATAAAATATTAGAAGTTGCCCCTTAATTCTAAGAGTATATTATTTATTAAATAAGAAAAAATAATTATTATTTAAAATAGAACCTCAGAGCTTCTGAAATTTTATATATTATATTTAATTAATAAGTAGTAATAAGACTGGTTAATTAAGTTCTTTAATAAAAATTAATTCTATAATATTATCTTTTTTTTAGAAAGATAATAATATAAAATACTAGCATGCTTATAAACTGGAATATATTAAATTTAAATTTTTAATTAATTTATTTTATTATAATTTTATATTTTATTCTAGCTCTTAATTTTTTTATTTATATTTTTATTTTTATTATCTAGTTTCCAGATCTTATACTATTCCTGTTTCCTTTATTTTTAGATATTTAATATTTATAAATCTTTCTTTTTTGTGCTCTGTTCTTAATCACCTGTTTAATATAATTTTTATTATTATTTTAAACAGGAACCTCCTCTTTAATATAAATCTGCCTAATTAATTTATTAATTATATAATTAACTTAGATTTTTATAAAAAAATTTTCTTTTTCTTTTTTTCTTTCTTTTTTTTTTCTTCTTATTTATAAGTAAAGATAATTTATATTCCAGCTGGATATTAGACCGGTCTAGATTAAAGATAAATATATATAAGAATATAAACTTATTATCTTTTATATTTAATAAAAATAAATAAATAAATTTTTTTATTTTTAATTTTATATTATTATTTTCTTTACTCTAATCTTATCTTATTTTTTATTTTAATTATATTACTTATAAGTCTGCTTCACTTAACTCTAATAAATAAAAAATATATTTTTAATATTTTTTTAGAGCTATAATCTTACTTTACTTTAAGTCTAGTAATAAAAACTTATCTTTATTATTTTTCTTTTATTTTTTTATTTTTTTTTAAATTATATTTACTCTCTCCTGTATTCTTCTTTTATAAAAAATATATAAAAATAATCTTTCTTTTTTTCTTCTTTTTTTTATATTTTTTTCTCTTTTCTTCTTTCTTTTTTATCTCTAGTTTTATTTTATTAGTTTCTATTTATATTCTAGTTTTACTTTACCTGCTCCTACTTATCTTCTAATTTTATTTTATTTACTTTTAGTTCTGTTCCAGTCTTATTTTATTATATTAATTATTTTCTTTATTAATATCTATTATATTCTCCAGTCCATCTGTGACAGGCTAAGAAGCTGGGTGGACTACATTAGATATAATAATTAATAAAGAAATTAAATTTATTAGAGAAAAGACTATCTAATCTACAGACAGGTCAGTCTTATTTATAAATAACTCTTCTAGAAACTTTTCTTTATAACTTTAATAAACTTCTTTATTATTTTAGAAATTCTTATTTTTTTTATAGATATCTTCAGGTCAAGGTCCAGGACCAAATAAATTAAAATATAGATATTTTAATTCTAGATAATTAATAAGATTTAGTTTTTTTTAATTATTATTTTCCTTACCATGACGCAGCTGGGCCGATATAGATTTTAAATAAAATAAATAAATAAAATTATACTAGTATTTATAGATTTTAATATTATAAAGCTTCGTTACCAGTTCTTATATAAATTTAATATATTTTTTTTATTTAACCAAAAATATCTTTTTATAATTATATTTTTTTTAAAGTATATTTTTCTTATCCGGGATTTTTTTAATAATATATTTCTTAATACTATCTTCTGTGATAATAATATCTAATTATTTATTTATATAATCTCCCATTTCCTTTTTTTTTATTTGGTTTTTTTTTGGTTTTTTTTAATTATATTTTTTTATTATCTTTTATTACTAATTTTTAAATTATCTTAAGATATATTTTATAATTATTTTTAAATCTATATAAGTATACAAGAAATGACCCGTGCCTGTGTATCCTGTTATTATTAATAATAATATAATCATATAACTCAGCTATTAATAAAAATAACTATAGAATTTTAGATTATTCTTACTACTTCTTCCTACTAGAATCTTTATCTTATATAAGATTTTTATTAATTTATTAATCTAAATCCTGACCTGTATTTAGTACTGTCTGTTTTTAGTATTTTTTTTAAAATTTATAATATTATTAAAATTATATTTATAATATACCTGGATTTCCTGTTCTAGAGTTCTAAGAAAAAGACTAATCTTAATTCTCTTTTATTATCTGCTTTAGTAGAAAAAGTACTATGTATTTTAGATAACCAGGGATTTCTTAATAATAGCATAATATTAAATATATAAAATAATAATTTTTTTTTATTATTTTCTCTATTCATAATATAATACATAAAGTAGGCTGTTAATCCTAATCTTTATCTATTATTATTTAAGTTTATTATTATTTTATATCTAATATCTGAAGGGCCAGAAGCTGATCAAAATTAAAATTAATCTTAGATTTAAATTATTAATATTTTTACTAGTTAATTTATATAATAATTTTTAAAATATTATAGCTGTCCTGCAGGCATACATATAATTTTCTTATATTTTATTATAATTATCTTATTAGAAAAGATAATCCAGTAGTTATATCCTGATATACTATCTTAACTTAATATTATTTATTATAATATATTCTAATTAGAAACTTTTCTAATCTAGTAACGGCAATAGATATTTAGTAGTATTTTAATAGATAAAGAAGTATCAGAAGCTATATTTATTATTATTCTAATTATTATTACAGTTATTTTTTCTTCTCCTACTACTACTATTATTATTTTATCTTAATTAATAGTTATAAATAAAATTAAACTGGGCTCCTTATTCCCAGAGCTGTAAATAATTAATCTTAATTTAAATTAAGTACTTATATCAGAGACTCTTTTTATCTAGTTTAATCTAGACAGTATAGAAGGATTTATATTAATATTAATTATTATATAAAAAGGCCTGTACTAGAAAATAATCTATTTTTTAATTATTAATTTGAAGAGCTTGTTCTATATTATATTAATTATGATTTACTGGAAGAATATATATATTTATAATTTCTGAATATTTAAGTGTCTGGTCTACCAGGTTCTGTATTCTTTATTTAAATAATTAGCTGGTTTTAGTAAAGTAGAAATATATTTTCTCTTCTCTTATTTTTTCTACCCCAAGCGGTAATATCTTATATTAATAATAAAGAAATTTACTATCTAGACAGATTGTATCTTTTTTCTTATTATTTATACTATGTATTCTGTGTCTGTTTTTTATTCTAATAGAGAAATCATCACAACGGGACAACAGTCAAATAATGTCTGATAAATTTTTAAATAGTATTATTTAATAGGGCTTTCTATAAGAAATACAGTATTATAATTTTTACTTCTTTATTTAATTATTCTATGGGGTTATAAGTGTTCAAAGATAATAATATATATTTTTAAATTTAATTAATATATATAGTAGAAATTCAATTAGATTAATATATATAATAAAAATTTAAATTAGATTAATATACTTTCCCACAGGTACTAAGCCTAATTAAGTCTATTAAATATTATAAAAATAAATATTACAGTAATAAGTATTACTCTAATAAATATTATAATTATAAATATTATTCTAATAAGTATTATATAAATTAATATATTAATATATTTATAGATTTTAAGAATCCTAACCCACCTGGAAAGATCAAATTAAATATACTTATTATATCTAAATTATATATCTTTAAGAGATATCTTTTTCTATAATATTAATATATAGTAATTTATATATATACTTACAGCTAATTATAAAAAAATAGAAATTATATTCTAGCTTACAGGCTGTAAAAGTAATAATATTATAAAAATAAGATAAAAATTTAAAAAATAATATTATATTAATTTAACTAAATCTGTGTAATCCTACTAAGCTAATAGATAATAAAAAAAAATAATATAATAATTAATAGTTTTCTTACAGCTTTTATACTCGGGTAGTATTCTTTCTAAAGAAAATATATGAATTAATATATAAGCTAATATTATATTTATTTATAATATTATTTTTCTTAATATGTCTAGCTTTCTTATCTTTTCTATAATTAATAAGATATAAAGAAAGAAAAATTATCAGAGAAATAAGTAAAAATAATTTATTTATTATTATATTTTAATTTTTATAATTCTATTAAATTACTAGATAATAAAGCAGATAATAATTATTATATTATAAGAAATTCTTATACAGCAGGGACTCTCTGTCAAACAAGCGGAATCGGTCACCTGATCTTGCATGATGACATGTCCGACCACGCCTGCACCTGTCAAGCCGTTGTCGGCATCACGTCAACCAACTGATAAGGGTTTGAAGTAAGAGGTTCGTTGATTGACCACGTTACGATATATACCACCGCCATAACACTCGGTAAACCACCACGCCACTGCCGGGAGTTTGGGGAATGAGGATATGTGACTGGCGAGAAGTGGGGACCGCATCCGGAGCGGGAGACGGCCCGTGCAGCGAACCATGGGTAGTCCAACCGCGGATCGGAACATCCGTAGTCTCCTCCGGCTTTGGATTTTTTTCTTGTCAACACTTTCTAAAGGTGGCGAGCAAAGGTTGCCTGCTACCAGCGTGGCTCTGGTTTGGGTTAATTCTTATCGTGTGTATAACCGGCTTCTCATGGTGAAGATAGATGCGCTTCCTCCGGGGAAAGGAAGGGTGCGCTACTCTCAATATTAGATCAGTGGAAGAGGCGGGGAACAGGAGGGTGACTGTCAGTAGCAGTGTTGCTTGAGGATAATAGCCACAGAGAAAGGAGAAGCATCAAGCAACAGGAAAAGTTGCGAGGATCTGGAGGATGGAGGAAGGGGCTGGATGTTGGTGGAACTGATCGCAAGTGGCCTTTTTTTTTTTTTTTGCTAACGCCGGACGGACTACTCTTAGACGGAAACATGTCCATCACGAAGCATGACGTTGACAAAGGCCTTTCTTCACAGGTTTAGGCAGTCCCAGGATAGAGACGTGCTATATCTTCGGGTACACACCCCATAGGGCAAATGCTGTTTTTGCGCTCCCAATCCCAGATCTTGTCAAATCTCTTACATCGACGGGGCGCATCTCGCGGTTTCCAAGCCCCCAACCCGGTTCCCGAAATGACATTCCCGGTGTCCTTTTGAAAGAGTACTGGGGTGACATCGGCCATACACTTGATCAAGTTCATCAGCATGACACTACAGTGGCGAGAATGAATCTGCATGAATTCTTCCGTCTTATTGATGGCTGTGCGGTAATCCCATTCATTCCGATGCACAAAGAACCAAAGTACGCCAACGCAGTGGACCTGATGCATTGCTGCTATGCAGTCAGAACCTATCTAAAGCGTAATGAGCATGAAAGGGGGGGTTGCAGGCGACACCGACCTTCAGACATTGCGATCACTTCTTGCTCACGCGGTGGAGGCAGACTCCACCACTCGCGTTCCTCTGTTGATTTGTTTATGGCGGGCAATTTGTCGTACGGAAAGCTAAATCGTCCGGCTTTGATACCGTTAATTGTCAGACACAATTCAAATTTCGTACTTGCTAGGCTGAAGGCTGGAACCAAACTTACTTTTCCACAGTGTATCCCACGCGTCCCGACGGCTCTGGGTAGGTACGCCCACGAAATCGTGAGAGATTAAATCTGAATCATACTGTCGCGATTCGTACTGCAAAAAGTCCGATTCCGGGCCTGAGTTTCCCGTCAGCTGGCATTCATCCTAGTGGGATGCGAGTAGCTTACTGTAAGCCCACATTCGTCGTTGACATGAAGAGTCTGTTGCTGCGTAGGAGTGTCGAACGGCGTAGAACAGCACCGAGAAGATGAAGGACACGACACCGACAAGTAGAACTACAAAAGAATAGCTTGAGACACGAGTAGTTGGTATCCCATCATGCGCCCGCTGATTCTCGGCGTTCTCGTCCAGCAGAGGAATAATGCTCTCTTCCTCTGTGCTCAAAGAATTGCTTGTGGCATCATGGGTTTCCTCGTCCTTTTCGGGCGTCAGGGTGTTATACTTGAACATTTGAACGACTTTGTCTGAGAGCGATTCAATCTACCCAGTACCGAGGTGAAGAATCATTCCAGTAGAATAGACGAAGAGAGAACTGCATGCTAAGTGTCAGGGCTACAACAGAACAGGCCAAAGGCTCAAGGTACTTGCAGTGGGTGCTGGCGTCAGCAGGACATTTTAGTGTGGACATGACACGGGCGACCTGGTAAGCCTTCGAGATCGCCCCTGTCAGCACACAAACACTTCATGGAAGCTTCCCGAGACGCTCCCAGAACGTGCCCGCCTCGACATCGCTTCACTACATTTCAGTGTCTTACTATCATGAACTACGATTGAATGGTCAAGTTGCAGGCCAGCCAGCAATATTGATGTCCCACGACAGAACCAATCATGTTCATCCAAGGCTGCAAAAATATTCAATTTCTCTGTTCATTGCTGGCTTGTGCTCTTTTACTTGTCTGTGCCGCTCTGATCGTCTTGAAGGCCTTGCATATTGAGCCAAGTGAGGCGAGCTGTGACAAGCTCACCTACCCTTGGTCGCCGGCGCTGGATATTATCAAGTACCACTGGGAAACGTTCGAAAACCACCAATTTTCCATAAAGACTTCATATTTTAGCTTCCGCCCAACTCAAGAGATTGAGGATGCGTGGAATGAGTTACTTCCACGTGCGTTTGATTCTCTGCCCTGTCACCTGGCTCATCCTCCAGTTCCCCGGAGAAAGACCAGCGTGCAATAAAAGAAAAAAAAAAAAAAAGAAGAAAGAAAAGAAAAGAAAAGAAAACAAAGGGACATAGCTGATATTGATTTCAGAGCACCCAATTTCGATCCCTGCAGACCGGCTGCAGAGCCTTGGACAGTTAGATTCAGCAGATGATCCTGCCTGGGTTCGGGACCCCGGTGATGCGAGTGCTATCCTTGCACTCCCTGAGTATGCTGTGCAGTTAGGCTGCTTAAATTTTCTCCGGCAGCTCGGCTATCGTTCTGACGACAACTTCACTCATCTCCCCTCGTTTCAAGGTGAGATTTCCCTGGTATGGGATAGAGCATACCAGTGTATCGAGCGACTGCGTCATGCTATCATGGTAAGGACTTCCAACGCCTGGATTTGGACCATTGGCTAACTTCGTACCAATCGCCAGTGTTGGGGTGATGTCGGAGCCGTCACTCTTTATTATAACGGCGAAACAACCTCTGAGACGGAGCTATTTAGAGATGTGTCATTTGACTTTGGAACACTTCATTATTGTCGGAATTTCGACAGCATAAACCAGTGGACGAAAGAAAATGGCGTGGGGGCCGCCACAATGAACAATTTGTGGTGGGGAGGTTCCTATGGTATCTAGCACACCGTAACACTGCAGGTGTACATGTTAAGACAAGATTATAAAGAAGCGTTACTTAGATTTCTAGAGTAAAAATCGAGTAGAAGATGGTGGGGTCTGTGTAGAGCAGAGAACCATTTCTGATTCATATCTAGCAGCTACCCACACGATAGAGAAGCCTCACTTCAACGTCATTGTCTACAGATGGTCGGGCTTACAAGCCGCGACACAAGATCAAACCAGGTCAGGAGATGTGGAGCTTGGCCACAAGCTCCTCGTTGAGCTTTTTCTCTTCAGCCTGATAAACACCAAACTTCCCTCCATCCATCGTGTCCACGAGCCGATGGATTTCGGCCACCAGGGCTTCGGCTTCCGAGCGCCTTGATGGTCCCTGCCCCCACAAGGCTTGGGCGATGATCCGGCGAGCGTTGATGGCTTGTGGAGAAGATGGTCCCAAGTGCAGCCGTGAATCCATCCATGCGCAAACCGGCCTTTCAGTTTCCTCTGCCTCCTGGTACTTCCCAATCTTCACCAGGTGGTCCGCGAGCATGTGCGGTGGCACCACATTTGATTCGTCAGGCCTCTTTTCCACCAGCATCCGAACAGTCTGTTCGGCCTCGGGAAGGTCCAACTTATCTTGAAGACAATAGATCCCCTGCCACAACTGGTACCAGCGCAGGTAATCGGTTGTGTAGAGAGACTGCGGAGGCGACGTAGCTGCCTCCTCCTGCTCTAGTTTCTCTCGGAGCAGCCGTAGGAGGAGCTGCAGCTTGATTCGGTGGTCATCGGAACTTGCCTCGTCAATGGGCAGCTGTGTAAGCTCGGCATCGGAGAAATTGGCCAGAAAGTTACGAGCGACGGAGTATTCAAAGCTATCCCAGAATGTATTGACAGGCACCGGGGCCTCCCATGAGAATGCCTTAGCGGTCTCGGATGTCGTAACGGCCCCAGTGGAGTAGCGGAATAATGATGAAACCGCAGCAGCCATATTTCAATGCAAGGATGGAGGTGTAAATACCTCGTGTTCGTGGTATGTAAAGATAATATGCAGAGACAGTGTAACGATTTGGGTTGCTATCAGATTGCGGGGTTGGGACTCAAATCTGTTGATTTATGTGTATCTGGTGGTCCAATGAGAACATCGCAAAATGACGCACTGTGTGCTGACAAGGCTAACCCAAAGGAGTGAAATACAGTACGGGCCTGATCCGAGCTTTTTTTTCACTTGATTTGACTTGAGTCCAGTTGTGATCGGTTGGCTTTCTCTCTCTCTCTCTGTGTGTGTGTGTGTACCAACGTTGTGGATATCTCGATATGGAACCGTCATATCAACTTGTTGCAGGGGATGAGCCGAATGCCAATTCGCGAAAGCGCCCATTCCAAAACCCTAACTTGACGACTTCAACCAGTTACAAGATCACCTCGGCACTTCAGTATTTTCATCCATTTGCTTTTTTTAGCCTACTTGGAATATGTTTGTTGGAAGCCTCAACAATTCTCTATCTAGTGAGATCGTACTCGGATGCGTCCCAGCCTTGGCCAGCATCCCCCGTTCCGCCGAGTAAGTGTGAGAATTCACTTTCGTTGCCTCGCCCGGAACTGATTCCTATCATCAGTACCATGGATTTCCCGCAACTTCACCCGAACTGCCACCATGACTAACCTGACGAGCGTTGCTGAAGTGGAGGCTGCCTGGGGTGCCTACGGTATGCGTTCATTTATTATGACCTGTTACATCATTCTATATCTCGCACCCTCCCTGAATCTAATGGCACAACGGCACCAGAAACGACGGCATTTGTGCATGTGCAAAGGCCAGAGCTATATTCCTTACCACCGAATAAAGATGTCCTGGCAGGGACGGCGAATGTCTACATGCTTAGCGTGCATCACCAACTGCATTGTCTGAAACAGCTTCACGTGGCGACTCTACATTTTCCGGGTGGAAATGGACAACAGAATCACGCGGAGGACTCGGAGTCGGTACGCCACATGGAGCATTGCGTTGATTATCTGCGGCAAGCGATCCTCTGCGCCGGGGATGCAACACTCGAGGGCCCAGATCCAGGGAAAAGAACTCTAAGTGGATATGGAACTACACATCAATGCCGCAAGTGGGATGGGTTAAATGGACTGGAGACCTGGAGATTGTTGAACAGTCCCCAGAGCCCATAGTGTAGAATTAAGCCTGATGTCTTGCAGTGGTACCCTCCCATGACTTTCTATCTGATTGATACATGCAACATTTCAACCCCAACGTAATGCATAAAATCAAGGCACGCGAGAAAGGGCAAATCAAAAAGGGTGATATAACCTGGACGGCATATACACGAAGGTGAACCCACAGAGGAAAGCCACAAAGGACAGAGACCAGTCTGAAATTTATAACAGATCATCAGTAATGGTATCATGTGCCGGAAGTACCTTTGTGCGTTTCTACGTGATCTCCGACTTGGAGGAGATGCAAATTTGTCAGGAGGCGAAAAGACCAAAGAAGATACGACCAACGGAAATCGTTCAACTACCACCCTGTTATATTGATGCCTGCAGCTTCTAATCGCCTCGCAAAGATGGTAGGTAACAGGGGCATCCGGATTCCCAATGTTCCGACCCCCTTCCACTCCAGATCCCCACTTAATCTCTTGTTCAAATCATGAGGTCCGTGACCATAGGCTCCCCAATCCTTCTTCCGCAAACATCTGCAAGGCAGCCCAGTCAATGGTGACTAGATTGAGCACTCATGGAGTGCACCAAGACGAGTAGAGGGCGGCGGAAATCTCATCCACATCGATCTCCGTGAGCTCTCGCTTGTGCTTGACAGTGTTCACGGCGGACCGAACTGCGACGTTGATTTCGTCGCGCTTGGCGGTGCCACAGCGTTTCTCCAACGCAGTGGAGTCATCGGCTAGCAATTCTTAGTTTATATAATCGGAATCTCGATACCTATCGGGTGGGATCATACCAACGGGCAGTGCGAGAACAGTGGCAATGGCCAGGGTAAGAACGGCAGCGATCTTCATTGTGGATTGTACGGTTATCAAGATATATAGAGTCCGAGACCGTGAATGATACTTCAAGACAGAACTCAGTTTGTTCGATGCAATGCGAATAATATTTCCCTTGGTAGGCGATGGAGAACACGATTATATGGATAGACCTCTCACAACAGATAGGATTACGACTGTCAGCACACATCAAGTGGCTGCTGTCAGAACACGGATGACAGGCGCCATGTTCAGGAATGTGCTGACCTGCGGGCATGCGAGTCTTTGGCATCCACGAGAACCCACAAACTTCCCTGCTGATTGCGCCCTGAAGGCTTCTCCCCTTTCAACTCGTCTTCCGTACTCTGCCATGATGCCCGAGCGATCATCCACAGAGACCTCTATCGATTCCATCCGTCACCATGAAAAGGAAAGCCTCATCGAATCTTACTATACCAAGCAACCGCCACGATTTAGAATATACTCGAGAGCTCATATTGTCACCCTCTATGTGTCCAACGCCATTCTATTACTGATTATCGCCGCATTGGTTGGAAGTCTATCGCATCGACCTTTCCAGGATCCCACCATCGGCGTATACTGTACGTTCTCATATGTTGCTATCATAAACCAATGGTTGACCCAGGTTGCCTCATTCAGCACCTGCCAACGAGGCCATCGAGTATATCAAGCAACACAAATTTCGTGCTGCGCTCTTTGAGAAGACCCCATACATGGGATTTCCGACCGACGAAACGGACCGCCTGTGGCAGGAGCTATATAACTGTAAGTGCTGGCCTTGCTGAGCTCGGGGATGAAAATACCTGACACCGATCAAAGTCGGAATCTCCAAGATTCCAGAACATGAGGCGAGGATGCTTCCCCATCCAACGCTAAAAGTTCCTGGAACCGACGAATATCTCGTACAGCTTGATGTATGGCACGAGCTGCATTGCCTCAACGACTTGCGAATGCTACTATACCCCGAACGGTTTCCAGGGCTGGCGGGCGTGACGAATGACAAAGGTGTCATCGACCGTGAAAGCATCGAATTCCGTCATTGGGGTGAGAGTCATCCCCTACAAGCGTTTGCGGAAACATTTTTGACCCCTAGCTAATTATTTATTGCTAGATCACTGTGTTGACTCCATCAGGGAAACCCTCATGTGCCACGCAGACGTTGCTCCAATTCCCTTCCGGGTCAACTTCCCAGCAAGTAAGGTCATTGTGCCACGATTGGCAACCACGCATACCTGTCGAAACTTTACCAAGATCCAGGAATGGGCCAAGGAACACAAGGCCAGCTACTGGAATTACAATGTCACCGCGGAGCAAGCGGAAGAGATTATGCGGGAATCGGGATTTGACAATGCGCCGTGGGAGAGCATTGATGACCAGTATATGGAATTTCCGGGCAATACATTCTTCACATACTGGCGGGAGCATCCCGAGGAAGCAAAGGCCGCTAGGGAAAAGACCGCAGCAAGTGGTTAGTAAGAAGAAAGCTGTTCAATATATTGGAGTGTTTCTCTGTGGAGGTACTTTCCTTTTGATGATAGACGGGGTGATCATGGATCTTTCCTGTATTTACCCGATTTGTCTTTGCTTCATATAGTTCCATGTCCTAGGATGCGTAATATTGGCCGTCGCCATCAAAGAAGTTTGTTGCGCTTTCCATCACATAATAGATATCGAACAGTAGATGTATTGTCCAAGCGGTGGGTGATATTCTACTTATGTATGTGAAATCCATGCTCATCAAACACAGCCCTCATCTATGTGTTCGAATACTGAGATACATAGGGCGTGGTTAATGCCGTCGCATGTGTTCCTCCCAGCTGGAGGTCAACGCACCGAATCCATAATCATACGCAAGGTATCTCCTTCCCCTAATCGTCTCTGCAAAACTAACGGATTTTTTTCGCTGAGTATCATAGCTTGTTGGACCTCGTCAAAATTTCTACACCGATGCACAACGCCGTCGCCATTGATAATTCGAGCCTTTTCACCCGTGGGTAACTCAGCGACAAAGGATGGCTCGATGGTGTCATCTGCTGCGCACATAATCGCCTTGTGAAGGGCAGATTTCAGCACAAGATATGCAAGTGCGTAATATGTGATAGTATCTTACCTGCTCGAGATACTGAAGGCAATGCTCTAAATGATCCTCGCCCTCGCCCTCGCCCTCCCCTCTTCTCTCCCAGTACCTTGTATGGTGCGACTCGTGCTTAAGGGCCATCTTCAGGCTTTCTAGACAGTGCAGTTGATGAAACATCGACACCCCGTAGTGCTTTGTCTTCCCACCGGCCTCGTGTATCTGAACGAACCCAGTACTACTGCTGTCCATCCATTTGGCAGAGAAGGGATCCGGAGACGCCACCTCTGATTCAGATCGATGATAGGAAAATGTCTCTAAATAGGGACCAAGAGCTCCTGAATCGCATGATATATGTGATACCCTTAGCCATGGAATCCAAAAGTCGGCACTGTTGTTCATGCGGAGAAAGGATACCGCAAGGACTCCCAGGAACGTGACAGTGAGGCCAAGCAGGAGCCAAAAGTGATAACTGTGTCTTTTGCCGTCCATCATCCTACCTGTTCCAGGGTAACGCTGGTTAGAATTAGGATGTAGAGTTGGGAACGAAGGTCTCATTGCACATGTTGTGTGCCAATCGTCTGGGAAAATGTCATGCTGACATGCTGGGTGGTGTGCTGACAGTCATACCAGCCAGACCCACAAGTCACTGTCATCATTCAATTAGCCTATCTTCACAAAGACATCTGAGTAAGAACTCTCGGCCGTGTGAGGTCTGAAAATGTGTTGGGGGGGGGGGGGGGGTTGTTGTGGTCTGAAAGCACATTGTAGTCGTACACAGCCCCATCACCTACAGAACATCACCATAAATCCCAAAGACACATAATGGCCGAAGGAAAGTCACTGCGTACTAGATTGCAGTCATGGATTGCCACAAGGGCTGCTCCTATTTTCCGAGCCACTGTGCATTCGTACACAACTCTGCCAAATTCCGGTGAAGTTCATCATCTGGTTTCCGAAAAAGACGGGATTGTTGAATGCAACTGTGAGGGGGATGTCTTTGCTCCAGACTCCAACAACACACGACGTTTGCTTGATCCGGTACGCCTTCTATGGCTCAACCTGGGATTCTTCCTGATATCAAGCCTAATGTTCACGCTATCCCTATCGCCGTCTCCCCCACTGTACAAGGAGCGCGGAGAGGATACACAGCGAAACTACTGCCTTCAACAGGTCTCCATGCCGTGTGAGTAGAACTTCGTCACCAGCCACTCCTAGCCAGTGTTCCCTAATGCACCAGAAAACTCATAGCCCCGATCCTGGACGAAGTGGACATACGGGTCGCACCGCAGCGGATGGACGCCACCCTCCTCAACAGGGATCCCCCCACCATCTACCGCCAGGAACCCAGCATCGAAATCGATCGCGCCTGGGCCGCCTTGTATGATACCCGACCAATTGCGCTGACTCGCAGCCAGGTCCTGGCGATGGGCAAGGATCCAGCGGAGGCCGTCCGCATCCCGCCCAGCTGGGGTCGCGGCAACGACAGCTACTTCGGCCGCATCGACGCCTTCCATCAAATGCATTGTCTCGATGCCCTGCGGCGCGAGGCATACTTCGGCCACTACTACGGCGCCAAATACCCCGGCGGTCTCAATACCACCTCCGAGATGCATCGGCTGCACCTGTCGCACTGCGTGTGGCTCCTGGCCCAGAATATCATGTGCTCGGCCAACACAGATGTCTACACGCATATCTGGACCGATACCCTGGACCATGCATGGCCGGACTTCAACATTCAACACCAGTGCAAGAGTTACGACACCATCTTGGATTGGCAGCGGCGGAATGCCTTGGATGAGGACGACTTTGTCGCCCTTAGACGGCCGGACGGATACCCCTACCGTGTGATGACGCATAAGTTCAAGGAGATTCACGGATGGTTTCTTGACCACGAGGATGTCGGTGACTACGAATCCGGGGAGATTGCTTGACAGGTACCCTCTGGAAATGCTTCATGGGTGTTTGTAAAAAGGACTGGATTGACTGCGTTGAGTTCGGGGATCAAGCATCTTTCGTCCCTACATCAGTGGGGATTTAATAAAGCCCATGGGAGTGTGTTACAAGCAACAGCGGTAGTACTAGTCCTAGCATTCATGAGTCCACTATCACCGGCTCTGCTATATAAGTCATCCTCTGCGGATATACATGTAGACTACTCTACTCTTTATCATCCTCTCCTGATCCGTTAATTTTACCGTTGCACGGTTACTTCTTGTTTGGGGGGGGGGCGGGTTTCTTACTAGTATATGCCCCGGTTGTACTTATCCCTATTAGTCTCTGCTGAACATTAAAGATACTGTAACAAAAGAACAACTCTCTGAGCCTAGAAAAATAGCATCTAGGTGCTGAACAGTCTCTACTATACAATCATAAACGTTAATTCTACCCACGTCCTCAATATTGACAGTCTGAAAACATTGCCCCATTCTAACTAGATAATATGATGATGATGATTGCCTTACACTCGACTAGCGCGCCCTTTCAGAGGGCCCTTTCTCAGTCTAACTACTAGTTATTATGACTTTGTATTTCTTTCAAAACCTCCATTATATATTATACTTATTCTCAATACCCAATCAGTCTTTTTTTTTTTTTTTCCGTACTATGAAGGTTTGTGTGGTGAGGTCCTAGTACCACTACGCCATCTGCCGCCGTTGAATATATAGTACTAGCTTCTGTAGCAGCGAAGTCATCGTAGTTCACTAACTTACTCTCTTTGGCTTGTTGGTAGTCAGAAAGATGTCAATGTGAAATTCACGGTGCGTCTTTGCCTACATAAGGAACTGGAGTTTCTATTGTAGCTAGTCATGAAAAGCCATTCATCTCAATCTGATTAGATATTTGCAAGTCAATATCACGATGTCCATTGTGCTTCCTCTCGGGCTATAGGAAAGTATATCGTTCCCAAAGAAACATAGAAGCGCATTCAGCCTGAAGGATCCTCACACGAAGATATCACGCTCCCTCACGTATATAGTTTGGGATATCGATGGGGGCATTGAGGTCTGCGCCCTCGTCTGCTAGCAGTCGCACGATCACCTCGGAACCCACATCCACTGCGACATGCAGTGGCCTTTGGCCATGATGATCGCGAGCCCCGATTTCGGCGCCCGCTGCAAGCAACTGCGTGACAATATCAACATGCGCAGCTCGTACCGCATAATGCAATGCAGTACGTCCCCACCCGTCTGCGCAATTGACGTCTACCCCTTGAATAAGGAGAAACTGCACAATTCCAACGTCGCCACGCTCGGCACTTATGTGGAGGGCTGTCTTGCCCTGGCTTTCTGAGCTGTATTTGTGTAGCAGGCTGCCATTGTCCCATATCTCCATCATGGCCGACAGGTTCGTGGGAACGTTCATTCGAACAGTGGGCAGTCCTTCCTTACACTGATGTCGAATCACTCCGCAATTTGTCGCCTGAGCCTTACAGACTCTCTGGCGGACTTCGAATTTTGATCGTGTGGTTCGTATAGCGCTCCCCTGGTGCAGAAGTGGATTGCTGCGGGCTTGAGGGGTGCTGGCGGACGTGGGATTAATAGAGGTTAACTTGGGCGTGCTGCTATCCCGTGGCAGATCCAATTCCGGGTCAAGGAGAAAGGTTGTGATTGAATCATTCATCTTATCATACCCAGTCAACGTGCTTGGGCTCAAATCCAAGCCTCCACCGACATATCCATCTTGATGCCATGACAACTTGTCAGGTGCAATTACCGCTAGGGGTTCAACCGGGGAGTTGTGCATTCCAATAGTTGAATCAACTGACATATCAGACCCCGCTGTTGTATTTGTTTGTTCACCAGTCACACCGTCTCCCACCGTTGGTGGACAGCTTTGACCCGACTTGTTGTCGGAGGCCATAGTCTCCTCATTCCGCCTCTCCTCGGGGCGTTCTTGCTGTTTATTGGCCAAATTTTGCATTCGCAACTGTTCTAGCTCAGCTTGTCGTTTGCCTTCATATCCAGTGTCATTAGTCATTTTGAAAGGGATCGGAATTTCTAAGCCAGAGAATCACAAGCGTGGGACATACGACGGTTTCTCTGTGCAAGACGATTCTGGACTCTCCTACGATGGAGGGCCTCAATTGCCACCTGTGCATCTATTTCTGCATTCATTGTTTCGATGGAAACCGGAAGCCGAAGGACCTAGTGGTTGAGTGCATATAGCTGTTCCCCCTATAACTATAAGAGCCTTCAGTATTTTCCCCGGGAAAGGGGGGAGGGGGTTGATTAATCTACGAACTCACATGTCCCACAAGAACAGCCATCGAAGAACAGAGCTCTCGCAGCTCAAGTTCGATGAACTTCTGGATGCATTACGACAAACACGCTTAAATGACCGCATGAGCCACGAAGACCACCTACTATCCTGCCTTATCTGCCTAGGCTATATGTCTCCCCCAATAATGTTTGCTTGAAATCGAGCCTCTATCGCCATCATGCAGTAATGTGACATCGTCTCGCTATTAGCGCTGGCTTCATACACGCGGAAAGAAACCACGACGGCTGTCACCGACCCAAAATCTTAGTTTCCTGCAGGGCCTGCCGCTCGTGCCATGATCGCTGCCAATGGTAATCACCAACAATATCTCCAGATCCATTCGGACAGGGGTATCGGGGGGCTGACATTCGCATGGACTGTAGGGAACTGAGACAGCGCTAGAACGCAAACGGCATATGAAGCATTCTCCGTCCGGACAGCCGACGGTGTATGTACCTAATGGGTATGAATTCCCTCGTTATGATTTGACTCCAGGGTAAACCCGACTCTGAACCAAAAACTATACCACGGCGGGTATCACACCGATGACCCGCGATCCTTTTGCTGCATCTGCGGGGTAATCCGTAAGCATGTACGGAGTAGGGAATCAGGGACCCGGTCGCCTTTACTCCGAGCCTAACGGAACGCTCGATTTCCGATTATTCAGCCTAGGTGTCAACCGTGAGGATCAATTCAACAAAGCGAAATTCGCTCCTTTTCATGATGGAGGAGAACAAAAGCTAGCTCGGTATCAACCATCAGGGTCGTTACCTTCGAGGCGTGGAGTGTCCAATATTTTCATACTCAATGTGTAAGAGGAAGTTCCGTACCATCGGTCGGTGCATGCTTATTATTGATACCTATCATGATCATATTAAGCTTGGCAAGTAGGTATCAGTAGTAGATAAAGTGCCCAGGCCAGCGGTTCACCGAGCGGGGGAAGATGGCTCAAGCTTGGCCATGCTTGTGAGTGCTTAGCGCCTGTCCGTGCCTCTACCATTCCCCTAGATATCATCCTGTCACTCTTGACCCGTACGGACGTTGTTCCACCAAATGTCTGATAAATAGCCAGGGTGAGTGATGATAGTTCTAACCTAGTGGCCAGGGGTACCGGGAGTAAAACAAATGCTCAGATAAGGATGCCCCACTCTATTGGATGATTTGGGGGGGGGGGGGGATGCCTGGCCCTTACCCCATCCAGTATTTATAGCAAGTAGCCCGGGACCATCCAGGTCGCCTCCCCCATCATCCCCGTCAATTCGTCCCTTCTCCACTACGATATCATCAGTCACCATGGAATGCCTGCCAGACAGTGACAATGTCTTCGGTCCTTGTATTAACCCCAACTGTCGTCCATTCGATTTCACACTACTGTTTGAGGATGGTTTCTTTGGATTGCTCCCAGCGGCCCTGTTCCTGGTTCTGGTTCCCCAACGACTGCATTTCCTTCGCACTGCCCAGGTCAAACTGGGCTTGTTCCGACTGGCAATGGCGAAACTGGTGCGTTCATCACAAATGAATCCAAACATAACAGTCAGGGACATTTATTCTTGACTAATATCAAGATAATAGGCTCTGCTAGCTGTGTTATTAGTTTTGTATGTACTATACACGGCTCTGTAGGTAGAGGACCCTGATCTTCATACCAGTGTAGGACTGGTATCCGGAATTATAAGTATTATTACTACAGGTACAGTAATGGTGCTGTCCTTTCTAGAGAACCAGTATTTAATAAAATGATCTAATCTGCTGGTAATTTATTACTCTGTAGAATTATTTTTAGTATTATTATAATTTTATATACTGTAGCAGATTTCCTACAGCTAATAAAATTTATTAAGTAATATAAATTATAATATTTATTTATATTTTTACAGTACTAGTCACAGAATCAATACATAAATTCTGATTTCTATGGTTATTTTATCAGAAATTTACTGGAAAAGGAACTTTTAGATTCTAGGACTAGAATTTTTTTATTTAAATATTACCAGTTCTTCAGATTAGTTACTCAAAGATACTGAATATCAGAGATATTCCGGAGCTTAATACTGATTAACAGATACAGTTTATAAAGATAAAAGTAGAGATAGCTTAAAAGATAAGATCAGGAAGATATTAAATACTTTAATCTATATTCTATATATATTAATGGACTTTTCTATCAGGAATAATACTATAGCTTTACTTTATTATTTTTAATTTTTATCAGCTATTTCTTATTATTGTAATAATTAATTATATTAATAATTCCAAGATATTAGATAGTAAAAAGCGCGGCTAAGTAATCATAGATATATATATTCTAGTTTATCTAGAATAAACTGTAGGTACTCTCTTTTTATTCTTACTAGTATTTTAAATTTATTAATTTTATATAGATCTTTATTATAGTATATTAGTACCACATAAATTAATTTAATATAAAAGTCTGCTCTAGTTTAATTTTTATAATATATACTCAGATTTTTTATTTTAAAATTAATAATATTAATGATTTTACAGTTATCACTCTTATAGATACAGATGTAAAAAGAATTATTTAAAATTAGAATATTATTTATAAAATATAGATATTAATTCTAGAAATTAGAATTATTATCTGGTTACTGGAAAGACAGTTTTTAGTTTTATTATTTATATATAGTTTCTGTTATTATTATAAAAAATTATTTTAATTTATCTAAGTAATATACAAGCTTTAATTTTCAACTGACTTTCTATAGGTTCAGTGCTAGTAATAAAACTAATCTTAAATTAATCTAGCTAGGTTTAAAAAAATAGATTAAATATATTCAAACCAGAGTAGCTGTATTATTTAATATATTATATAATATTAAATTAATTAAGATACTCAGTCTTTTCTGTATTTTATTTAATACAGTATCTGAGATATAAAGAATTAAACTGAAAATCTTTAAATACTTCTGAAGACTACTTATCTAGGAAATTATAATTTATAAGAAAAGAGGCTTTGATAATATTAGTAATATTAATTTTTTTATAACTAATATATCTACTAATTTTATCTTCTTTGCAATCTTTGCTATATATATAATAAATACTATTATCAAGTATAATAAGACTCTCTTTTTAAGCTAGGTTTTTATATCTTTCTTATTTATATCTCTTATAATAAATTTATTTCTTATTTTTATTCAGGCTGTGCTATCTTTATAATAAATAATATTATATTATCATTATATCAAAGAATACTATTTAAAAGATTCTATATTATTTTTAAATACTTTAACTTCGGTTATATCTTTAACTGTACCCGGTAATACAGTAATAAAGCTGAATATTTTTTTTATCAAGATTATTATCTGATAATTTTTTTATCTCTTTTAAACAGGCTATTATTACATGGACTGAAGATAATAAAAAGAAGCTGTATAATATTAATCTTTCTATTAAATCTGGTATTACTATACTTATTAACTCTGTAAACTCTAGAAAATCCACTTTATTATCTAACATACTTAAAAGAACAGTAATAAAATCTGGTTAAAGATAGATAATAAATTCTTGACTGGTTTACTGTCCGCAAGTATTCTAGATCTTTAATAATATTATTAAATAAAATATTATTATTAAATCTGAGTATAATTTAAAATAGTATAAGTTTGCTATATAAATCTATAATCTTAAATAAGATTTTTTTAATATATCTGGTAGGGATCTGTACTATACAAATACTAATAATCTTACTTTTAATAGCAGCTAAAAGCAGTAAATTATATTATATTATATTATTTGTTCAAGAAAAAATATTATACAATTTAATAATGTCTTCAGCGGAGTTGATTTAAATAATATCAGTATTATTATTATTTATTTATTTAACTAGAATAGATACTTTCGAATTTCCGGAATAATAATCCTTTTAGTTATTTATATATATAGGTTTAATATATTATTCTCTTTGAAACATAAAGCTCATATTTAAATTACTTAATAAAATATTTATTTCAGTATACAGACCAGATTATAGTTCTTGAGAGCAGGAAGGTTATGGATAAAAAAATATATAATAATATAATATTATTTTATAAATTAGTAATAGCTACCAGATCCCTTATAAGCACAGAGGGGACTACTGAGAAAGCTTTTTCTGAAGCTTAAAATAATAATAATCTAGATAAGACTAATACAAAGTCTTCTGATATAAACTTAAAAAACTTATTATAATAAGATAATACTTGGTCTGTATACAAGTACTATTACTAGTCTACTAGATTTATAATATTCATAATCTGTATAGTTTTCATGATTATAGAAGTAGTCAATAATAATTTTATAAGTATATTTTATACTTTTCTATTCTTTAAGAACTAGATTCCGGGCTAATTAATAGATCTATTGTCCAGTCCTGTGGATTTAGTAATAGATAGAAATAAATAAAAAAAGGCCCAATCACAATATAGGTATATATATTAATATATATGCTTTATTCTTTATTATACAGTTAACAGTTTTTAGAGACTGCTGGTGGCCTGTAGTATATATTACTTATTAAATAAATAAGAATTGTCTCAGAGCTTAAGCACTAACTAATTTTTTATAATAATCCAGACTCTTTATTATAACAGTTATATATAACACGGTAATGAATCTCCATATAGACCTTCTCTCTGTAATTTTAAAATATATTAAATTATTTATTAGGTTTTTTACCTGTTTTTACTAAGTAAATAAAACAGTATATTATTCAGCTTTTTCCAGGTTACTGAGATTAGGACTCTAATTAATAAATTCAGTTAAAATATAGAATTAATTAATATAATATTTTCTTTAATTATATCTATGTTCTTGGCAGGTAATATACTACTACTATTATAATTTTCTCTTTACTTCTACTCTTCTGCTATGCCAAGCCTGTTATAAAGACTACTAATAATTATATTCAACAGGACTTGCTGTTAATATAGTTAAACTAATTATTCTTTATATTATTAGCAAATATCTGGCAGCAGTTATTTTAGTATTTTTGATTAATCTAATAATCCTGTAGAAATACTATCTGTGTATCTTCTGATAAGTATAACTACTGGATTTTAAAATTAAAACTTTTTTTATACTTACTTTATAGAAATGATCTAAGAATTTACTATTATCTATATATTTAGGGCGGAGGCATAATTCCATAAAAAATATATTAATTTTTTAATTTTTTATAAAAATTATATTATATACTCTTCTATAATTAATAATAGCTCATACTCGTGATAAGCTTGATTGTGACAGCTTTAACAGTGATTATTATAATAATAACTATTTTATTAGTTAACTAATATAATATTATATCTGTCAGAGTAGTCCTGATATTAATCCTAATCTTTAATACCATACTTTCAAGTATTTTCTGAATATAGACTAGTCTTAAAATAAGTATCGGGGCTGTGTCACGTGTATAGTAATTTATTTAAAACATCCCGCGGGAGATAAATAATAGCTTACTTAATTTTCTGGCTTCTCCAGATTTATATCCATTAGACTGTATAATCAAGTTCAAGGCTATCATAGCAGGATATAGATAAGTCTGCCAGTTTCCGTTTCTTATTAAATAAGCCTATTATGGATTGAAAATGCATGCTTTACAAGTAAAGATATTCGAGATTAAGCTAACACACTGTAATCTTAGTGAATCCATTTCAGTTATTTTAAAAAATCTCTCTCTTATAATATGTCCTGGTGAGAAAGTTGCTATCTGTAGCCTATCTGAGAGCGGGAAAAGCTCTCTAATTATATTTTTTTTTATATATAAGTAAAATCTACTCGGGCATTATCTTGATCAGAGATTATGATATTTTTAGATTTAAATAATAAGATATCTATTTCTTTCTCAGGATAGTTCTATAAGAGCTGTTTCTGATATTAGATATTATTTAATTTAATTTAGATTTTTTTTTAGAGAGTCTTAGATAAATATATTGGGTCTGTATTCTAAAAGATAGATTTCTGGGATTGTATTAAGATAAATAAAGGACTGGAGATAGATCTGTCTAATATATTAAATTAGTTAATAGATAAAAGATAGTTACTCGCCCTGGCCCGGGCTCTTACTATATTATTATTTATTTTTATTCTTAATAAAGCTATTAGTAATATCGACCGGGAAATGGAAGTAACTATATAAGATATTATTAAGTAAAACTTTATTTAACAGATTATGGTAGCTGTTATTCACCGCCTTTCTTATATTAATTGATTTAACTGGGTGGTATTTCTCAAGAATAGAAAGCTAGTAGAATGTGATACGCCCCAGGCTTTACTTACTCGGGATAGTGAGTTCCGGCAACTATATCAGGCCTTGGAAGGGCACTGAAAGTAACATAGTGCCAGCCTTGTACTGTTGGCCCGAGTGGTGTTTTCATTTACCCATGATTAACACCATCCGGCCGGTCGCGTTGAGGTTGACTGAGGTCAGTCCGAACTCATCGATCGCATCAGCTTCGGACCTGTAGTATCATGACCCTGGGATTCAGCTCAGAAGCCTACGTGTATGATTGAAGCTCTAATTGATATCCGTTGTGTTGAATGAGGGATGGGCTAACTGAGGACACTGAACGCCCCGACACTATCCGGCGGGAATATAACATCCAATATAAGTGCTAAGGGAGGGCCTGACTTCGGTGGTGTTAACAATGGGTGCCCTGGTTGGATTGGCTATTTGAAATACTGCCTGGGGGGTAAGCCCCTGAGGCAAATGATCCAAAGCCACTAGAGTAATGGGGGCAAGGGTTCCATGGAGCCAGCCAGGGTGGAGGCTGGGCGACGGCCACAATAAGTTGCAACCACGTGATTTCCAAAAACTACGATGTCCTGCAGTTGGAGCAGTCCTTAGTCGAAAGCCACCATCCGCGATGCCGAATGGCGCTTTTGACTGGATGGGCTCGTATGAGTGAGGAACGAAGCATTGACATTGTTAGATGGCGTCAGAGTCCATCCGAATGGATACATGGTCGCGAGGTGGTGTGATGGTGTAGCAATCCCTCCGGGATGCAGCACGCATGACCGGGTCGCAGCAAGGCCAAAGCCATGTCGGGCGGGGTTTGCCGGCCCCTCGCGCCAGTGGCGGAGGCAAGGGAGGGAGGCAATCCACGCTCTCTCCTCCAATCTCTCCCTCCGATGCTGTCAAGCAGGTGGCCCGGATGCGCTTGCAGGTCGACAGGAACCCCCATCGGCCATGGCACAGATTCGATTGGTGTAACATCGGTAAGGCCAACCAGTGCGGGGAGCGTGAGCCTTTGATTAGGAGGGATGGCGAGCTTAGGTAGGCTGCAGGAGCTCGGTAGGAGTTCCGGCCAACTCCCATCCTTCCCTGCGGCCCTTATCGTGCCTCCGTTCGAACCCCGCCAGAGGTCGCTCGGTCGTCCCTTGTCCCTCGTGCCTGCACCTCTCCCCATAAGGCATGTTTAGTGTCTGGCTCTTATCAGTTGCTAACTTATCACAAGGGACAACCCGCAATGACTGGCCAGTGGAGGATAATCTACGCAGCCGGGATTGATGGTGGTTGCTCGGAGGCAAAAAAAGCCGCGGGTATTGGGGCCCTGAACGCTACGGTATGGCGTCAGCCGCTAGCCCGATGACAATTCAATTCCTGCTCCAATTCATGTCTCATTTGCAACCCAATCCTCTCGGGGGCAAATTGGCCATCCGAGTGAAGTGCCCATGAAATAGAATGGTTTTTATTTACTTCGATGCCATGTGACAACGCTCCGGTGGTGAAACAGTCGGCTATCAGCGCCTTCTTGTCTGAAAAATGGAGAGATATCATATCTCCCGGCCCTTGGCAGGCAGGAGGCGGCCAGGCCATTGGAGGACAGGGAGGAGGAGGGGGGGGGGGGTGGTCTGATAAGGCCAGCGAACAGACCGGAGCTGTGGCCAGAGCATTGGCGCCGGACTATGCTAGTGTATACTATGAATGATGGTGGTCACATGACCCAAGGCCACTTCTTCATCTCTCCTCTGGCAACATATCTCTTCCTGTTAGCCATGTATCTTAAAACCACTGATTCTGTCTGTAACTAACAGATTATAAGCCCGGCAAGCTTAAAAAACAATTAGATATATTAAAAAATCATTAATTTTCATTAATTTTCATCAAAAATAACTGTATCTAAACTAATATTTATTAATTAAGATAACTACCCGGCGCTAAGACATATCTAAAAACAAATTATAATAATATAATAATCCTATACCTGAAATAAATATTACTCTAATTAGATTATACAGATAAATCCATAATAATATTAATTAGAGAATAATAATTATTATTAATAAATCTAGTAAACCCAGTGCAACCACCAGCAGCTGATAATTAAATAAATTAGAATAAAAGAATTCTAGATAATAAACTATTAAATATTCTACTAGATCTCAGAGATTAACTAACTAGAAAAAAAGACTTTAAAGTATAATAATTTAAAGTATATAATAAATTTTAAATTCTTTATTATATACTAATAATTAATATTATAATTCTCTGACCAGCTGCAACAAATACTAACTATTAATTATAAAAAAATTAGAGTATTTTTATTTTTTTCTAATTAATTAGCTAAATTTTACAAGAAATATCTATAAAATTATGAGGTAAGAATACTAAGAATTATTATATTAATAAAATATTTAATAAGATTAGAAAGCTTATATTAAATAAAGAATTTAATAAATATAAGATTATTATATCTAAGCTTTATAAAATATATTAAAACTAATACTTAATAATCCTACAGTATATTAATAGCTTTAGAGAAATCTTTAATTTTACTTAATAACTAGTATATAGCTATCCAGCTTACTTTATTATAATTATTTTACTTATTAATATATAATCAGACTTACCAGAATAATATAACATAATTAAAAAATAATTTAATAACTTTAATAACAGTAAATTCACTGACAGCTAATTCTATAAATTATATATTAAAATCTTAGAAAAAGCTGAAACAACAGTTAAAACAGATAAAGTATTTATAAATATAATAATAAACTTATTAAATATAACTCAGTAAGGGGGCCGCAGAATAAATAATAAGAATTAGAATAATAAATTAATAAATATTTCTAAAGATTATAAATACTAGCCATTTATAGATATAAATAAGAATAAATAAATTAAATAATAGCTTATATTCTAACCTGTATATATAAAAAGACTTTACTTTTACTATATATAATATTTATATAATATTTCTATATATGTATATCTAGTTCCAGCTAAATAATAAAAAAAATAATATTTATAATTAGAAATCTTTATTTATTAATATAGTTAATAAGTAAACCAGACTTAAACAGTAATATTTCTAAATTTTTTAATAATTAAAATAAATACTTAACCAGCCTATCTGGAACTTCTAATATAATCTAATATTATTATCTACTATAATAATATATTCTAATTCTCTGGTATAATAATAAATATATTTAAATTAATTATAAAATCTGAATAATTATAAAATACTAGAATTAGTCAATATATTACTCCAGATCTTATATAATTTATTAATTATTAGAATTTTTATTTTAATAAAAAATTATATAAATATAAAATCTCTTATGCTGGATAAGACTAAACTATAAAAATTAAAATAATATTAATTAAGCTTAATACTGGACATAATTAATTTATAATAATTAAAGATTAAATATATTATAATCTAAATATATAATTTAGTATCCTAAGCCAGGACTAGATTAAGAAAATATATAAATACTAACTATACTTAGATTAAATAATCCGGAAAATCAGAATATATAAAATTATTATTTATTTTAATATAAAATATAATATCCCCTTTATTAAGATCTTTAAGAATATAAATATTTAAGTTATAATAATCAAACTAGATCTATACTTACTATATAAATAATTAAAACATGCAGGGACTTCTAAACTAAAAATAATAATTATAATTTATAAAAAGATTTAAATAAAAAATATCTTAAATTTTAATTATAATATATATTTTTATATTAAGTTTAAATACTTAGTTTCTTATATTTTAATTATTATCTTAATTAACCTGACAGACTTATGGACTACAGATCTATAAATTATTAAATTAATAAATTATAATAAATATCTTTATATACTTATTATAATTAATCTTATAATCTAATAATCTAAAGTTTATTTTTTTTAAATAAAATCTAATACAACCCAGAACCTCATCAACTTTAATAAAAAATATAAGAATATAATTAAATATAATATATAAAACTGGAAAATTAATAATAATAATAAATTCTAAAACTTCAAGAAATAGACAGAAGCTAAAAATATTAAAATAATAATAATTTTATTTTATATACCAGAGGCCAATAATCTATCTAAGTATTATAAAAAATATATTAATTAAACTGCCTGTACTATAATAATTAAAACAAATTTATTATAGAAATTTTAGCTCTTTATAATAAAGATTATAAATATAATTATTAACTAACTTTTTTATATTAATAATTCTAGCAGGAAGTCTCCAGTCCAAAAATAATAGAAATATTATAATATTCTAAATCTTAAACCAGTTCTTAACTATCTATAAGTCTATAAATACTAAGTCTATATTTATATACTATAAGCTAATTATATATAATTAATAAAAATAACAGAACATGCTAATATTAATTACTTAATTAAATATAAAAATAATTATAATTATATTTTTAAAGTCTAGATTCCTGAAAATAATCAAGTCTATTAATCCTAAAATATTAAGTTTATTAAATTAAAGATCTATAAAAATAATAAAAATAAATTAAATTAAATTATTCTTCCAGAAAGTACTCCACAACCTAATTAACTTATAAAAAATAAAATTTATTTTTATTATTTATCTATATTTTTAAAGTAGCAGTAGATAATATTTATTCTATTTTTAATTTCTAATTTATTCTTACAAGATCTGATGCCTGTTCCAGCTATATTTATAAATTAAGAATTATTAATATAAAACTATATTTAAATATTATTTTTTATACTAAAAATATTAACTATATCCTGAATATCTTAAATTTAATTATATAAAAAAAACCAATTTCCAACAATACAGAAATACATAGAATAAATTAAATAATTACTAATAATTCTAATATACTTATTAATTAGATAACAGGAACCGGAGGCTTGTATATCTCTATTAAATATATTAAATAATTTAATAAATATAGATAAACCTGAATTAATAAATATTAATTATTCTAAACCTATAATAATTATATTTTTAAATAAATTATTAGAACCAGTCAAAACATCTACTTAATTTTACTAGTTTCTAAAATTATAGATTTTATATAAATAAGATCTCTACCCCCAACTAATATTACTAAGATTTAACTAACTTCTATACCTGGTATCTGAACTCCTATAAAAATAAAAAAAATAAAATTATTTATTTAATAAAAATATTATTATTTTTTTAAACAGAAATCTAAAATATTCTAGATAATAATCTACAGTATCTGACTCTCTGTAAATCCTAATATTCTAAATAACTTTATTAAAAAATATAGAAATCTAAAATCAAGTTCTTATATTTTCTATAATAACTTAAGAACTAGAATTTACTGAGCCCCAGGAAACATGACAATATATATTATTATAAATAATAAAAAAAATCTTATTAAAATAATATAAAAATAATCAGGTATATTTAGTAATAGAGCCAGGATTATAGATTACTAATATTATAATTTTATTATCTTATAAAGTAGTAACAAAGTTATTTCATATAAATCTATAATATGAAGCTATAATTACAGAGATTAAAAACTTATTAAATATAAAAATCTATCAGATAATTCTTTCTTTAATAAATTATTAGAATATTTATATACTTCCAGATAAGTAGATTTATATCCTAAAAAAAGATACTGATAGCTATATTATATATTTTAAAATATAATAGATTATATATAATAATTACCAGAAACTAGAAAAGGATTTTAATATTATATATACTCTAATTACCTCTGAAATATTAATAAAAATAATATTAACTATAATAACTATCCAGAAGCTAGTATAAGAATAAATTAATATTATAACTATTTTTTTATATAGTACAGTAAATAACTAAAAAATCTATATATATTAGTCTACAGATTTTAAACAAGATCTTAATTATATCTATCTCTTATAATAAGCCTTATATAACTTATAACAGGCGGGCTACCTCTGGAATAAGAAATTTAATTAATAATTTTAAAAAATAAGATTTAAATTAATTATAAAGAATTTATATATCTATCTCCAGGAATCTATAATTATTATTATTTATATTAATAATTTTATTTTTACTAATTAGACTATTATAGATATTAATAATATTACTAATAATATATCCTAGTATTTCAAGATTAAATATCTAGAATCTCTAGTATATTTTCTGGATAATATACTAACTAGAAATAAAAAAACTAGAATAATAATCTTCAGTTAGTATTTATATACAGAGAATCTACTAGTTTTTTACTAAATAAATAAATCTTTATTTTAATATATATTTATAAATTTAAATTATTAAAACCACTGTCCAGAGAACCTAAGTTTTAATTAAAAAGATATTAAATAATATATATAATTACTTA